CGGCTACACTTAGCCAATTCAATTTAAACCAGTCTAATATTGTGCTTAAATTCACAAAGTCTGTGTACCACAGAGCAAAGTTCATCATAACAATTACCATGAAACTATTTATAGAAAAGCCACGGGGAACCTACATTACGGCGGTGGCAAAATTACTGAAGCCGAGATGCGAAATTCTTTTTTGGGATTTTTAACAATAATCTCTAAGTATATAGCAAGTGCACCAAACCATATCTGGCAACAAAACTTAAAGCTTGATCATATCTCACTGAAAACGTCGAGCGAAGTTCAATTTTCACTTTAAACAAATATGCTAATTTCTTTGCGATAATGTCGTTGGCAAAAGCATGAATTAGCTTTTTCTGATCACTGTATATGTCAAAAAGCACGGTAGACTGGGCTTTTTAACCTTGGGTAACAATCAGTTTAAGCTGACTTGGCTGAATACAGGATCATTGAGATTGCAACAGAAAACTAATTCACTAGCTTTTCCCACGAAATAATGTCAGTTCATAAAATAAAATACATAAAATACAGAAAAAGTAGTCTCTGTGGAGAGACTTGATTGTCTACGTCCTGAATTAACATGACAGTTGACAAAAGATATTCCCCAATGGGAAAATTTTTTCTTTGGGAAAGAAATGAAGAAAATTCATTTTTCCAAATGTAGTGTGTTTAAAAATATATGTATATCTCTATAAGCGGAAAAATGGTTGCTGGCTTGAGGTAATTAGCCTTTGTTATATATATTTTTTCTATATAATATTCGATCTTCGGAGTTCATTTTGAGTAGTTGTACACGTTTTTCGTCCGTGTTTATATCCCTGAAGATAGAGGACATATAACCTGTTTTTAGTTTCATTCATTTTGAATATCAATATTGCAATTTTATACTAATAATCTTTTTTGTTGTCCATCCTTTTGGTTATAAATTCTCTACTTATTTTGTAAATATTCGATTGTATTGCTTCAATATATATATATATAATATATATATATATATATATATATATATATATATATATATATATATATATATATAAAAAACAAATACTAGTACACATAGACATTTTTAATTTATTGCATTTCTAACTAATTAATAAACATAATTTTTATATAATTAACTGTACACAGATGCATAATAACTAAATATGCATAGAAAGTGGAAAATGATTTAATAGAAATAAATTCAATTTATCCATTATTATTAGGGAAAAAAAGATTCAGACAATACAAAAAATAATATATAATCTTCATTTCTTACTTTGTAGAATATTATCTTCTTGTAGTTCTCAATTAATGATTTGCAAATTCTTGTTGGTATTTTGTTTCATTCTTCTTCGCATATGGTCTTCAGATCTAGGATGTTTGGTGGAGGCCTCGATTGGATTTGAATATTCAGATAACGCTACAGATTCTCGATTGGGTTTAAATCTGGGGACTGACTTGGTCATCCCAGGATATTTACATTATTTTCAGCAAGCCATTTTTTCTTAGATTTTGCAGTGTGCTTAGGATCATTATCTTATTGGAATATCCATTCAGGAGGAAGTTCAAGATTTTCAACCCAAATCATTAAATTTGCTTCTGAAATATTTTCATATACTGCGGCATTCATTCTACTATCTATTACTGATATGTTGCCAGTACGTTTTGCAGAAAAAAAATCCCCAAACCAAGATGCAGCCACCACCAAATTTCACATTTGGAACTGTTTTCTTTTGTTTGAAGACATCGCCATCTTTCTTCCGTGCATGATTTCTAGAATTACGTCCAAACAACTTTTTGTTTCGTCTGTCCGTAATACTCTTTCCCAATACGATTTTCTACGTTCTTATGGTTACGAACTTATTTCAACCTGGCATCTCCGTGTCTCTTCAGTAGAAATGGAGTTTTCCTAGGGGAGCGGGATTTTGGATTGTTCCTATGAATTTCATTGCTTATTATCCGTTTAGTGACACAAATTCCTGGAGAAAGCAAATCATCCTGCAACTGTTGACGAGTAACCACTGGATTGAGTTTAATTTGCCGCATTAATTTCATCGAACATCTTGCAGAAATCTTCAGTGGAGCGCCTATTTTTTTTTTATTTTCTATACCATGCCATGAATGAACAAATGGCAGTAAATGGACTATTCATGTTGTCTGAGATTTTCCAGTTACTTTTACCTTCTTTCCAGAACATAATAATCAGTTCTTTTTAGAAATTTGTCAATTTTTACCTCTTGCCATGATGAAAACGTTGCAAGAATTAAACAATGTATTTTCTAGGCTAAAAATAGCTCTATATATATATATATATATATATATATATATATATATATATATATATATATATATATGTATGTATGTATGTATGTATGTAAAAATAGAGAGAGAGGGGAGAAAGAGAGAAGTAGGGAGAGTGAGAGAAAGGAACAGAGATAATGATATAGGGAGAATTATATCAATGAGGGAAAAAGAGAGAGGGTGAAAAATATATCACTCAATATTGTTTTGACTGATTTTAATGCTTCTCACAAGAAGTGGCTTATGCATTCTAATGTCACTGATATTGCAGGTATTTACACTTTCAATTTTGTTTATTTCGATTTTTTTTTTACTTCAATGCATTGCTTTCCTCGAAATCTTCCGTGGAGAAATCTTCCTGTTCTTCTTTGGTTTTCAACAACTTTGAGATTTTGTACGTTGGAATGAATGAAAAAATGCTTTTGAAGTGAAATATACATGTTGTCAGGGATTTCCCTACAATTTTTACCTTCTTTCCAGGGCTTAATAATCGGTTTGTTTTGCGAATTTGTCAATTATTTCCTGCTTGTTAAGATGATAACCTTCTTGCACGAATATCAATTACAGAATGTTCTCTTTTTATTTTTAAGCTAAACATTCCTGCTAATAACATTACTTGAATAATCTAGAGCATTAAAAAAATTTAAAAGTTTTAAAATCTGAAGTTTGCATTGTACGAATACATTTTTCACCCATAAAAATAGAAAAATGGGATTTATTTCTATTAAATGATTTTTGTTTGTTTTGCATATGCATTTTGTGTGCATATTTAGTTATTATGCATCTATGTACAATTAATTATATAAAAAGTATTCATTAGATGCAAATACAATAAATAAAAAAAATGTATGTGTACCAATATTTGTTGCCAACCACTCTCTCTCCCTCTCTCTCTATTTATATGCATCTGTGTATGTATATATATATATATATATGCATCTATCTATCTATCTATTTATCTATCTATCTATCTCTCTCTCTCTCTCTCTCTATATATATATATATATATATATATATATATATATATATATATATATATATATATGTATCTATATGTACTGTGATTGTAGGTGCGCGCGTACATTTAATCGTCACAAGAACTGTGTTCTCATCTCTCTCTCCCTGAATATGTTTCCTCCTAATATAACAAAGAGTGCACAGGCCGACATACGTATTACACGCTGTTTAATAAATAAATAAAAACGGGGCGTCTATTCCAAATAAATGGTGTCCACTATAACAACGTTTGTAGGAATAAAAGTGTCTGATTAAAAAGGAAAATACGATAAAACAAAAGTCAGTGTCAGTTATCTTTAAGAAAATATTTAGTAAAGTGGAATTGGTGCCAAAATCCAAACACACACACACACACACACACACACACACACACACACACACACATATATATATATATATATATATATATATATATATATATATATATATATATATATATATATACATATAACATATATTTTTTATAGTATGCTATATTTTAACGTTAATAATAATCAGTTCAATATCAGGGATAGAGTGTATATGAAAATGAAAGTGGACATTGATGTCAACGCCTAGAGGCGACAGTCTGTTTCATGCTAAAACAATCGTCAGGTAAATGACTTTTGCGTTTTGCATGAAACAGACTACTGTCGCTAGGCGTTGACATTCCACACACACACACACACACACACACACACATATATATATATTAATATATATATATATATATATATATATAAACATATATATATATATATATATATATATATATATATATATATATATATATATATATATTAATATAATAAGTTTATTATAATAAATTACAGTGAAAATATTTTTACATCGCTACACAAAATCTTTCATGTTTCAGTAGTAAGATGGTACTTTTTTAGGCGATGTTGTATATATATATATATATATATATATATATATATATATATATTATTCTAGGATCATTTTCCAAATTATTTAAGATGATCTTCGTCCTTCTGTCCTGGAGTAACAAATTGCCACACACGTTTCACGTATGATTTCATTTTCAAGGCTATTTTCACTGGTCTTTGGAGGCTGATAGGTGAAATTCTCTCTCACGTGCCAAGCGTCTTATAGAATGAGTTGGATCTTTTCTAATTGATCAGTTTAGCTCTAAATTAAAATGATGATCCCTCTTGCTGTTGTGACCTACCTTTTCACCTCAACTGTCCCCTCTTCACCGTTCTCTCGACGGTTCTCGAACGGACTTTGAAGATGGAAGCCAAAGTATGAATTACTATAAAGCCTGAAGAATATTTTTCCTCTCACCATTGCAAAAAGATTGGGTCTGACACAAAACGATTGTAACCTGTTCTCTTTTTAGCTAAAGAATTCAAATGGTAACTCTGTGATTCTTACGACAAATGGTGTCAAGATGGCTAAACTTGTTATCTGAAAATCTGGAAAAAAGGAAGTCAATCAGTTTAGTGATTTTTTTTTTTTTGATATTGTATATTTTGTGGGTAGACAATTAGGCTGTTACACGATTTGGGCAATTTTGCTTTTACACCCGATATGTATGATGATGACGTCAAAAGGAAAACTTTACTTTACCAACGCGTTTCTTCAGTTGATAGAGTTTATCAAGGCAAATTTTATTAACATTGCCTTTTTACGGTTAGATTTTTGATTAGATAATTTGTCTGATAATTTTTTTAATAAATTGGTGAAAGTCGATGAATATTCATTATTTAATTAAATTTATTATCTATCTATGTATCTATCTATGTATCTGTCTATCTATCTATAATTCACATCTATCTATCTATCTATCTATCTATCTATCTATCTATCTATCTATCCGCATTACTGTGACTACATATCTTTCTATATTTAATTCCGTCCAGGTCTCTCTGTCTATCTATCTATCTATCTATCTGCATTACTGTGACTACATATCTTTCTCTATTTAATTCCGTCCAGGTCTCTCTGTCTATCTATCTATCTATCTATCTATCTATCTATCTATCTATCTATCTATCTATCTATCTATCTATCACAACCTGTTCATATCTCTCTCTGTTCACATCAACCTGTCTCCCTATCCCACTTTGATAATATCTCTCTCACTCTCTCTTTCTCTCTCTCTATATATATATATATATATATATATATATATATATATATATATATATATATATATACATATATATATATATATATATATATATATATACACATATACACACACACACACATATATATATATATATATATATATATATATATATATAAATAAAATTAATAATTAATTAACCATAATAATATTACCTACTATTAATAAAACGGAATACAGTAAAAAATATAATAGTACATATTATCAGTGGTATGATCGGATGTGATTAAAAATGACGTAGGCAACCGGAAAAGGAAATTGCAATCTTTTTTATGGAGGAGAAACTGAAAATCAGAAAGTTTAACAACGTGAATGGATTAAGAAACATAAGCAATGAAATTATGTCGGACTATATGATGACGCATTCCTTTTGAGAAATGTGCAATAAACTATAAAATTCGGGAATGTCTAATGAAAACAAACAACCATTTTCAAAATCAGACTGAAATGTTTGAAACAGGCTGTTAATGGGTAAATCATAAAATAATGTTATTTTTATGTGCATTAAAAATGTTTTTAAACGTATTCAAAACACCTGTATACATGTAAAAAGAATTATACAAATCACACTTACACACTTTTTAATCATTTCATCTCAAGCAAGGTAACAAAGCCACTAAAACATAAACCGTTGGAAATTATGAGAAAATTACTATTAACCCATTAACTGCCAAATTTATTTAATGCGCATTTTTGTCCCAGACACGTGTCTTAGGTGTTAAAACAACATACAATATTAAAATCTTCTTCGAATAGATGGTACTTTGAAACTTTATAGAAACTAGAACATCCAATATATATGTGTATAAAACATCAAAACATAATATTGATTAGAGATAATAAGAAATACTTTTCAAATTAGTCATTATTTTTTTACTCGTGAAATGTAAAATTGCGACAGAAAGTGTCTTCTTACGGCTATTAAAAAAACCTTTAAAGGCTAAGTGTTGTAAAATATACCTCTGCAAATGCAATGTATGTAAGCAATTCAATGTAGTTACTATTATCGTTTTTGTAGAAACTAGAACATCAAATATATATGTGTATAAAACATCAAAAAATAATATTGATTAGAAATAAGAAAAAATACTTTCAAAATAGTCATTATATTTCTACTCGTGAAATGTAAAATTATGACAGAAACTGTCTTCTTACGGTTAATAATAAAAACTTTAAAGGCTAAGTGTTGTAAAATATACCTCTGCAAATGTAATGTATGTAAGCAATTCAATATAAATACAAGGAATAACATGTAGTGAGTTTAATTTTAACAGATCCTCAAATGGGGTTCATGGCAGGTAATAGGGCTAAGCTGAGAAAACAATAAAAGAACAAGAATTAAGAAGACGGAAGAAAACGACTGAATTTGTATTTATATTTTTAAAGATCAAAATTGGCTGAGTTTGTTTTGGTTTGTTTTACGGCATATCAACACCTCAATGGTTTATTTAATGGCGACAAGATTTTTATTGATGTTACTATTTTTTTTTTATTCAGAAATGTATTGCTGGTATTAAAACGTATTTTTATAATTTCATTTGTTCTGACCCCTATTGGGGGTTAACTAATTGCCTATACCTGTGACCCTGACAGGTGCTACCACCCTGGGAATACGAGCAATCAAAAGGTTGTTCCACACTCCTCAAAACCACCTGATCAGAGGCCTTGCTTTTGGACGTAATTTATCGTCTTATCCAAGAATCGGATATATGTTTTCGTCATACTCAAGACGGAAATTGACTGGGAAGCAAGAAAAATATACGTATGTATATATGTATGCATGTATGTAAGTATGTATGAATAGAAAATATAGATATATTCAGACAGAATTAAAATAACTAATAGATAGTTTTTGTTTTTATTTTTTAATTTAACATATTGCGTTATTTATTTAGCTTAAACAGAAATTTTAGAAAGTGAAATTATGCATAGGTGTTTATAAATTTTCGGCAGTTTACAATCCAGTCCCACTTTGTGGTGCACTATTTTGTCTCTCTCTCTCTCTCTTTTTCTCACTTCTTTCAGCTGTACTCTCTATTTCTCTCACACTCTCTCACTTTCTTTCTTTTGTACTCTCTATTTCTCTCTCTCTCTCGCTCTCTTTCTCTCTCTCTCTCTCACACAAACACTTTCTTTCTACTGTACTCTCTATTTCGTTCTCTTAATCTCCGTCTCTCTCATTTTCTTTCTGTTGTACTCTCTATTTCTCTTTCTCACTCTCTCTCACTTTCTTTTTGTTGTACTCTCTATTTTCTCTCTCTCTTTCTCTCACTTCTTTCAGCTGTACTCTCTATTTCTCTCTTACTATCTCACTTTATTCATGTTGTACTCTCTATTTATCTCTCTCACTCTCTCGCTCTCACTTTCTTCCTGCTGTACTCTCTATTTCTCTTTCTCACTCTCTCTCTCTCTCACTTTCTTTCTGCTGTACTCTCTATTTCTCTTTCTCACTCTCTCTCTCTCACTTTCTTCCTGCTGTACTCTCTATTTCTCTTTCTCACTCTCTCTCTCTCACTTTCTTTCTGCTGTACTCTCTATTTCTCTTTCTCACTCTCTCTCTCTCACTTTCTTCCTGCTGTACTCTCTATTTCTCTTTCTCACTCTCTCTCTCTCACTTTCTTCCTGCTGTACTCTCTATTTCTCTTTCTCACTCTCTCTCTCTCTCCTTTCTTTTCTGCTGTACTCTCTATTTCTCTTTCTCACTCTCTCTCTCTCACTTTCTTTCTGTTGTACTCTCTATTTCTCTTTCTCACTCTCTCTCTCTCACTTTCTTCCTGCTGTAGTCTCTTTTCTCTTTCTCCTCTCTCTCTCTCCTTTCTTTCTGCTGTACTCTCTATTTCTCTTTCTCTATCTCTTTCTTTCTGTTGTACTCTCTATTTCTCTTTCTCTCTCTCTCTTTCTTTCTTCCTGCTGTACTCTCTATTTCTCTTTCTCACTCTCTCTCTCTCACTTTCTTTCTGCTGTACTCTCTATTTCTCTTTCTCACTTTTCTCACTTTCTTTCTGTTGTACTCCCTATTTCTCTCTCTCACTCTCTCTGACTTTCTTTCTGTTGTACTCTCTATTTCTCTCTGTCTCACTCTCTCTCTCACTTTCTTCCTGTTGTACTCTCTATTTCTCTCTGTCTCTCTCTCTCACTTTCTTTCTGTTGTACTCTCTATTTCTCTCTCTCACTGTCTCTCACTTTCTTCCTGATGTACTCTCTATTTCGCTCTCTTACTTTCTCTCTCTCACTTTCTTTCTGTTATACTCTCTATCTCTCTATGTCTCTCTCTCTTTCTGTTTCATTATCAGTATCTGTGATACCAAGCGTGACACACACCATATATACGTAGAGGCGATATAA